GCTGCCTGGCTGCCTTCCTGGGGCCGCGGTCACCGGCCCCTGCGGCCGCTCGTACGTGTAGGCTCGTCTGACATATTTCCCTCAGTTCTACTTGCCATGACCTTTTGTGCATCTGTAAAGGCAAAACAGAGAAACTCACAACCTAATAAATAGTGCTCTTTCCTTCACTGCGTGTACTGTCCCCCTTCCTCGGTCCCCCGCCCGCTGCCTGGTCTCCGTCCCCGTGTCCTCACTCTGCCAGCCGCCGCCGTGCTGCAGCCCGTTCGCCACGTGGAGGCCCCGAGCACCAGTACACACCAGTACAGTCCCGACAGGCAGTCCGGGGGCTTTTCTGACATTGAGAGCCCCGCCGAGTACGATCACGGTGTCCTCTGCTGCCCCTTCTCCACAGTTGACTCACGCGGGGGAAGCAGTTGCCCGTAGAGGTTCCTCGAGACGGAACAGACGGAAGGAGAAAAGGAAGGAGAGCCTTTTAGCAAAGAGGGCATGCTCACTAGTCAGTAAGCTGTTGACTTTGTAAAAAAGTTAAAAGGAAAAAAAAAAGAGAAATGAAATTGTATATTTAATGAATGAACATGTACAATTCGCCACTGGGAGGAGGTGACTTTGTTGGGTGCATCTAAGTGACTCTCACCGATGTCGATATTCATTGTGTGTAGTTTTATTTCAGTCCCAGCCTTGTTTCCTTTTATTTTGGAGCTAATGCCGGCTGCGTGTCTAGTTTTGAGTGCAGTAAAATAGAATCAGCAGATCACACTTATTTTTCATCCTTTTCCAGGATTTTTGTTTGTTTCTGTAGCAGCAATGTACACCAACTCTTCCTGTATATTGCCTTTTTGCTGGAAAATGTTGTATGTTGAATAAAATTTTCTATAAAAACGACAATTCGGTGAGTGACGTGGAGGTTGAGGGAGGCCCATGTCCCCCCACCGCCGGTCATGTTGCTCACCCGACAGCCCTGGTTTCCTGCGGGTATTTGATGCTGCCTCTTCCTAGTTAGGTCTGAGCTCAAGCAAGAGGAGGTTTTCCAGGGGGATCCTGGGCACAAGCGAGGCGACTCGGAAATACTGCCAGCACCGTGGGCGGCGTAGCCCTGGGGAGCCGGCCGCGCGGCCCACCCGGCACGGGTTCCTGGACTCTGGGCTGGTCTGTTTCCAGGTCCAGGTGTAGGCCTCGGGCCATAGGGAGGGTAGGTGTGTGCAGGCCGGCGAGGATCTTTCTCTGTGTGTTTGACGTTGAGCGTGAAGGGTTGACGTTCCGTTCAGCTGGACTTCAGTTCTGGTCCTGGCCGGGTAGCTGGCACAGCGCTTGCTCGGGTTATCAAGGGACTTTTTACAAAAGACTTGACGGTGTGGCCCCGTGCGTTTACTGCTCCGTTCCCTCCCAGCTCTGGTTGGGCGTCTGAGCTCACAGTGTTTGTGGGGGGCACAGCGGAGAGCAGCTTCTGCTCACTCTACACCCCGAGGATGTTCCCATCAGTTGACAAGGAGGAGCCCCTTGGGAAGCATGATGTGACCTGTGACCTGCAACCTGGGCGCAGTGGGCGGAGAAAGGCGGCCTCAGTCCACCCGTGAGCAGCATACCAGCCTTGCCATCTCCTTCCAGAACAGTCCCCATAGGCAGGAAGTGCCTTCCTGGGGCGATGGAGGTGGCCAGAGTGTTGGCCTTTCGCTAGGAGCGCCCAGGCTGCGGTCCCAGGGACCACCCCTTCCAGCAAGAGGGGGCGCCTGTTGCTCCAGCGCCCAACAGCGGGATCCGCGGGCCTGCCCCTGGGAAGTGCGGCTCTGGCGCGAGATGGGAGCCCATGTCTGGGATGGGACCTACGGACGGTGGGGTCGGGACCGTGTCTTCCCGAGCAGGCCTCAGGCCTTTCCTGCCACCGTCTCTGCTCTGAGGCATGTGGTTGAGGGCTGCGTGGCTCTGGGGACGGAGACCTGGGGGGCGCTGGCCGTGGGCACCCCGGGATGGGGGGCTCCACGCCGCGGGAGCCTGGAAGCAGCTACGTACTGCAGGCAGCACACGGCCGAGCCCGGGGTCCCGCGGCACCTGGTACCGACAGGCAGAGGCCGTCCAAGCTCGCGGCCCCGACGTGGCAGGGAAGGAGGCCTGTGTGGCGGTTGGGCCGGTGGGGAGCCGGTGCCCAGGACACCCCCTCACGGACAACATGGGGAACATCTCCGGCACCTCGTGGCCCGCAGAGTGGCATGGGGGCACTGTCCCTGCAGCCTTGGGGGCCTGCTGCGCGCCTGCCCCAGCAGCCGAGCATCCGCCCGCCGTGTAACTCCAGGTGCCACAAGCGGCCAGCGTGTGCCGCGTCGGGAAAGCCGCGCTGACCGCTCTTGCCCGCGTCGGCGTTGCTCAGCCTGACCTGCCGTCCCCGCAAAGCCTGCGGCGCTCCTTTCCAGGTGGGAGCAAAGCACAATCGAGACCAGCTTCCCGGCGCCCTTCACCTTGCCGCCCTCCGGGAAGGAGCTATGCAGACTCACCCTCCCCGCCATCCTTGAGGGAGGCCGTGAGGCCAGGCCCCGGGGGCGTGGAGAGCCATCAGAGCAAGGCTGGCGGGGAGGGCCCCCACCAGGGGCGCCCCGAAGGGCCCTGCGCTGGATCGAGGCTGCACACGCCGTCTGGCCGGAGTTGCCTTAGGCTCAGAGATGTGGTAGGTGCTGGCAGGGAGGGTACCTCGGGGCCCCGTCCTCGCCGTGGGGAGCTGGTCCAGGGCCGCGTCTGGCTGCTGCGGCGGGGGGGCTGGTCGCCTCCAAGCCTGGCCTGAGTGCCCCCCGCGCCCCACCGCTGCTCAGCTTCCTGAGCGCTCCAGGCTGGGGGCTCGCCTGCACCTGCAGGCCGCGCGGGGTGGGCTCCGGTCCCGTCCCTGGGCTTTGGCCAAGCGCGGGGGAGAGAGTAGCTGAGAAAGCTCCGTCAGCCACCCTGTAACAGTCGTCACCATGGAGCACGCCGTGCAGCCTCCAGGCAGCCCAGAGTGACCAGCATGTGCCACCTGGTGGGGCTCCCCACTTGCTCCGTGCAGACCTGGCCGCCTCAGCCCCCACCCCCCGAACATCGAGGGCATCCCAGGGACCCACTCGCCCCTGAAGAGGAGCACGGCTATGGCCGAGCCAGGCCAGTGAAGGAGGTCCCCCAAACTCAGCACCCTGCAAGCAGTGCCACGTGTACGTCGAGAGGCACCTGTCCTAGGACCGGCCGCCGCCGCCCGTGGATGTCTCCGGGAATCCCAGTCAAAACCAGCGAGTTGCTTAGTGAGCCCGGAGTCCGTCCAAGAGCCTCGAGGCGAGTTCTGCAGGTGCATCCAGCTCCGGCTCCAGCTCCAGACGGTCTTGGCCTCGTCAGCGGAGCCAGGCACGCCGGTGACTGTCCCCACATGGTCTGGCCGCCTCTGCACAAGCATGCAGCTCCTCCAAACCGGAGACGGGCCCAGTCCCAGGAAGACTCCCCTGGGTGCTGGGGGCCGGCGGGCCTGCCCTGGCCTCGCTCCCCGCTGCCCGCCTCCCCCAGTAACGGCGACCTGCCATGTGTGGGATGCGCCGTCTCCTTCAGGCGCCGAGCCTAGGTGGGCGGCCACCTGTGTTGTCCGCCTGGGGCCCTTCTGTCTCCCTGGGTGCACCCGGCCGGCCCGCTGTATCACAGACGGGGGCTGGTCCCTTCCTACGGAGTGCCCCCCATGGGTCAGATGCTTCACCTCGTCCTGGACACCTTGCTGGGAAGGAGGAGCTGGCTCGGGAACCAGTGCTCCCCCTGTCCTCCAGGGCCCCTGGGGTTTGGCCGGAGGCCTGGCTGACATCCAGAGGCAGAGATCCGGCCCCAGAGCTCGTGCAGCCCCCTGGGTAGTGTGACACCAGGCCAGGGCTGTCCCCACAGGCTGTGTGACCTCGTGAGGCTTCCGGGAACTTCTTCCACACGCACACACGTGCACACACACACACACACACCCTCCCATCTCTGCTGCAGGGGGACAGGCCCTGGACCTGCAGCCGCGGTGGGTCACTGGAGCCGAGGGCCCTTCTGCCTGGGCCTTCACGTCTGTAGGACCGGGGCACCCTGCCCTCCCCGGGGGGTGATGAGCACACAGCAGGTGAAGTTCCTTTTTTTTTTTTTAATTTAAAAAAAAATTAAATCCCAAGAAGGGCACTCCCTTCGTTCCCTGTCTTTCCTGCCCCCTGATAAACCCACTTCCTTTCCCCCTTCTCTAGGAAATGCATTTCCATTGAAAACGTGGGTGGATAACCATCTTATTTTGCGAAATAAAGTTCCTTTGTGGGGGGGAGCCTGGCTGGCTCCGTGGGAAGAGCATGATCTCAAGGTTTGTGAGCTTGAGCCCCTGTGTTGGGTGTAGAGATTAGTTAAAAATAAAATTATAGGGATCCCTGGGTGGCACAGTGGTTTGGCGCCTGCCTTTGGTCCAGGGCGTGATCCTGGAGTCCCGGGATCGAATCCCACATTGGGCTCCCGGTGCATGGAGCCTGCTTCTCCCTCTGCCTGTGTCTCTGCCTCTCTCTCTCTTTCTGTGACTATCATAAGTAAATAAAAAAAATAAAAATAAAAATAAAAAATAAAATTATAAAAAAAAAAGACCCACAGCCCTCCATTGCTTGTGCGCCAGGTTTCTGTATAGGCTGTGCCCGCCCTCACCTGGTCCCCTGCAGACCCCGCGTGACCCCGGGGGATCCTGTTTGCCAGCTCAGGGCCTTCACTGTCCCAAGCACTTGCCAAAGCCCCTGGACACGTGAGGCCGTGGCTGCTGGGAAGGGACGGGAAGGGACGGCTTGACCGTGCTGTGGATTCCCTGGGGTCGGGACACCGCGGAGCCCGAGAAGGGGCACCGGGGACCAGGCTCCCCGAGATTCGTTCACCGTGGCTACCTGAGCACCCGCTGTGTGCCAGGCGCCTGGCCAGCCCTCGCCCGGCCCTCCCTGCGCCAGCAGGCACCCAGCAGGATAGACGTGGGCAGACAAGCGGCATTTAATGGACATTTATTTCGCAGACATTCACAGGCGACGGTAGCGGAAGAGCTCGTGCTGGCACACGGGGCACGTGTGCTTCACGTCCATCAGGCTGTCCACACAGAAGGGGAGGAGGCAGCAGCCCAGGAAGCACCTGCAGCCTCAGGAGCAGTGGGATGGGGGTGCAGCCTCGACGTCCTCACCTGGGCCCCCCGCCTGCCCTTGCGCCTGCCCTGCCCGTCCGCCCCACAGGCAGCCCTCCCCCAACCCAGCAGGCTATCTGTCCCTGTCCCCCTGGATGCTCAGGGCCCCTGGGGGGACAAAGGTGGTGCACTCACCCAAACACAAAGAAGCCTGTACACAGCAGCCAGGTGAGGGTCCCCGGGACCGGGTTGGTCACTGTGATGATGTAGTTCCCGCAGTAAGGACATACGGACTGTATGGGGGTGGCAGACCCCATCCTAGGCAAGCTGCTGAGCCCTGGGGGCGGGGGGGGGGTAGCTCAGACCCCAGCCCCCTGCCCACTCGGCTCCACCTCCCTTCATGCTGTCCTGTCACCCCCCCCCGCCCCCGCAGCCACTGGCCCTCGGACCTCCCTCCACCTTGTCTCCCCGGCCAGGGGTCACCTGGGGGATGTGGAGCCTCTCTGGGTTCCCCCGGGGGCTCCTACGATTCAGTGAGCCCCCCCCCGGGGTAGCGTGCTCAATCCACCCCCGTGCCGGGGTGTCTGTGACGTCAGCCAGTGTGTCCTCGAGTCCCCGCCCCTGATGGAAAGCTCTGACAACCTCGGTGAAGCGTGGTGGGGGAAGCGACAAAACCTAGATCCTACCTGTCGGCATCCTTGTGTCTCCCTCTCCCATTCATACAGAGAGGCCAAAAAAATGGACGTTTAGCTATTTAAACATTGCGGCCGTTTCTGCAGTCGTGGGGTGTGCAGAGAAGGGGGGCTCTGGTAGGGGCTGAGCTGGTTAAGAAAGCCGTCCCGCTCAGGTAGGTAAGTAAGTAAGTACATAAATAAAACTTTAAAAAAAAAAAGCGGGTGGCTCAGTAGGTTAAGTGTCTGCCTTTGGCTCAGGGTGTGATCTCGAGTCCCAGGATCGAGTCCCGCATCGGGCTCCCTGCATGGAGCCTGCTTCTCCCTCTGCCTGTGTCTTTGCCTCTCTCTCTGGGTCTCTCACAAATAAATAAATAAAATCTTTAAAAAAAAAAAAAAGGAAAGCAAGGAAGGAAGCTAGCCAGCCTTCCCAGGGGTCAGCGGTGAGGGGGGGGGCGGGATTTGGAACCCCGACGGGCCTCTGGGCACCTGTGCACCTAGCATGGGTGGCCCCGCCCGGGGACCTGTGCCCGCTCCGGGCTCCCTGGCTCGCCCACCCTGGGTGGGGGCTGCAGGAGCGCCTGGTAGGGTAGGGAAGGGGGTTTCACCAGGACTTTGCCCCAGAAGCCTTGCCTGAGCGCCCACCCGGGACCAGGCCCCTGTGCCGCCAATTTCACGTCGGGGAGGAGGAGGCATGGCCGGCGGTGGGGGTCACGCAGCTTGGGGGGCTCAGCAGAGAAGGGCTCTCAGGGGAGGCGCTGCGGGGGCAGAATCAGCCGGGGGAGGCACTCACCGGGGTGAAAGGCCTGGGGGCTTTGGATGTACAACGGGGGAGGACTCGGAGCACCTAGAGGCCGAGGACCAGGAGGAGGAGGAGGCCCTTGGGGAGAGAGGAAGGAGACTTGCTCAGACCCCAGGGTGCTGACAAGGCGGCGGCCTCGCGGTGACCCCGACTTTACAGCAAGGCGAGGCCTGGAGGAATGAGGGCCGGTGGCCGCCGAGCTGAGGTGTGAACCCGGCGTTTCTGGCTCCAGATGTGTCCTCACAGACTCGGATATAAGATCCTGGAGGTGCTGCCAGGAAGTTGAGGATGTAAGCAGCGCATGGGGCCATCATCTCTCTTAAAAAAAAAATACAGGGGGATCCCTGGGTGGCGCAGCGGTTTGGCGCCTGCCTTTGGCCCAGGGCACGATCCTGGAGACCCGGGATCGAATCCCACATCGGGCTCCCGGTGCATGGAGCCTGCTTCTCCCTCTGCCTGTGTCTCTGCCTCTCTCTCTCTCTCTCTCTCTCTCTCTCTCTCTCTCTCTCTCTCTCTCTATGTCTATCATGAATAAATAAATAAAATCTTTAAAAAAATTAAAAAAAAAATACGGGGATCCCCGGGTGGCTCAGTGGTTTAACACCTGCCCTTGGCCCAGGGCGTGATCCCGGGGTCCTGGGATCGAGTCCCGCGTCGGGCTCCCAGCAGGGAGCCTGCTTCTCCCTCTGCCTGTGTCTCTGCCTCTCCGTGTGTGTGTGTGTGTCTCTCATGAATAAATAAAATTTAAAAAATATAGAATACGGAGCACTTGTTCCGTGCCAAACTCTGCTACACATTTGACACGACCTCGCTGCACGGACTCTTGCCAAAAGCCCCGTGAGGAAGGCGGCAGCAGGGTTCCAGTGGTGCACAGGTGCAGACCCGGCTCAGCGAGGGTCAGCCGAGGTCAGCCAGCAGGTATGGAAGTTGAGGACGTGCGGGGCGGCCCTGCGTGTGAGGCCCCTGCCCCTGGTCAGGACGGCTCCAAGACGGCGGGGTCCACGCGCCTCCCGGGAGGGGCCGTCCGGGCCCAGGCCTGCCCACATCCCTCCCGGCCGTGGGTCCCTCCTGCCCCCCCAGGGGCCTCTCGCAACCATGTCGACAGCCCGCCGGCTGCAGCTCCCGGGGCTGAGCCCTCAGGTGCGAAGCTGTTTGGACAGGGGATTCCAGAATCCGGACACCCAGGGTGCAGTCTGGGGCAGGCAGGGTGGGAACCCCGTCGTCGACATGACCCTCTGGTCCATGGGTGGGGCTCATGGGGTCTCTACGGGAAACCACGCGGACCCTCTGCATGGGGACCTGCCTCTCCCGGGGGAGGGGCCTCGTGGCTTGAAGAGGCTGCTGCAGACCCCCACCACCCAGTGCCTCTTCCCACACTGGGAGCAGCCGGGGGACAGAAAGCCCCTCCCCACTTTCTCCCACACGGCCTAGACTCCTGGGGACAGGAGATGTCATAGCCGGCCTGTGTCCCCAGCATTCCCGTCTGAGGCTGACTTTTGTACCCATTTCACAGGTGAGCAAAGTGAAGGCCAGGGAGGAAGTAACCTGTCACCTGGCCTCGCGGCTGAGTTAGCGGCCAGCCCTGCACCAACCACCTCCTAATCCTCTCAAACCATTCTCCAGACAGAAAATGGATCCAGGGGCGCCTGAGGGGCTCAGCGGTTGAGCATCTGCCTTCAGCCCAGGGTGTGATCTGGGGTCCCGGGATCAAGTCCTACATCGGGGTCCCCGCAGGGAGCCTGCTTGTCCCTCTGCCTCTGTGTCTGCCTCTGTGTCTCTCATGAATAAATAAATAGAATCTTTTAAAAAAAGAAATTGGATCCAAAGAGATGGCTGGATCCAATGGGCGACTTGGCCAAGATCTCCTCGGGAGGGCCAGGCCCCCCGCGCCCCCCCACCCCAGCCAGTCTAGGTTGTGTCTGGCCCCGGGGTGGGCAGGAGACCTGAGGGGCAGCCTGTACCTGAAACAAGGGAGTCATTAGTCTTCTTCTTTGACTCCTTGTTAACACCCTAAGAGAGGGCACGGGCTGCTGGAAACCCTATTTTGTCTCCTTCGAGTCACAGGGTCCCCAGGCTGGCAGAGGACCATGCGATGTGACACCAGGAGGACTGGATTCAGCCCCCACCGGGCAAGGGGACCCATCCTCTCCTGCTTCCCGTGGGCCCCCAGGTCACCTTGGGCCCAGGATGGGGAGACATCTCACCCTGGGGATAGTTCCACCGGGGTGCTCCGGGTGACCTTTGTTCCAGCAGCGGTATCCGGGCGGCGTCGGGTTCCGAGCCCAGAGTGGCCGAGCGCTTGTCCCGAGGGGTCCCCATGGCGCCGCCTGGTTGCCCTTGCACCAGAGTGGGGGCCCCCCTGGCGCCTCTTCCTAGGCCTGGCTGGGGTGGAACAGCCATTGTGATGTGGGGCGTCACCGGGCGAGGGGTGAGCTCTGTGTCTCCTCTCCCTGCAGGCCGAGCCGGAAGACCCTGTGGAGGTGGCTCTGCTCCCCGCCCCACCGCCCTCCCCGGACCCCCTGAAACCAGCCCTCGGTTACCGACGGCAGTGTGGGTCGGGGTGCCACCCGGGGCCTGCAGGATGGGGGAATCTGACCACAGCCGGGACTTCTGCTTCCAGGGACGTAGGCAGACACCCAGCCGTGTGGCTGGTCGCGTCCTGTGGCTGAGAAAGGGACCCGCGCTCCGTATGCACGTGCCCATGCAGCACACGCAGGTGCACCGGTTCACGCACGTCTCCCCGCATGTCTGACGGCCCCTCTTGCCCGCTGAACTGAGTTTGGGCAAGGTGCTAACTCTCCAGCCCTGCACCCCCTGGCCTCCTCAGCTGTCAAGTGGGGGTCCCGGCTGCTGCGCTAGAGGATTGTTGGGAGATTGTGAGACGCGAGCCAGGTACAGCGAATGGTCGATGCCACCGTGGTGCCTGCGAGGCGGTGATTGGCCGGAGTAGCCCCGAGAGACACTGTCCCTGGTAGGGGGCGGCCTCTGTGCCCGGGGCTTTGGCGAGGGTCACGGCCAGTAAGGACAAAGCCAGGATTGGTGCCAACAAGGGCACAAAGTGAGGGCTGTGTGCTCAGACAGTAAACTCTGCGACTTCTCGTGTTGCCATAAAATATTGGGGGGAGGGGATCCCTGGGTGGCTCAGCAGTTTGGCGCCTGCCTTCGGCCCAGGGCCTGATTCTGTAGACCCGGGACCGAGTTCCACGTCAGGCTCCTTGCATGGAGCCTGCTTCTCCCTCTGCCTGTGTCTCTGCCTCTCTCTTTCTCTGTCTCTCATGCATAAATAAAATCTTAAAATATATATATATATATATACTTAAATTACTTGGAATTCTATAGGGAAGATATATATATATTATATATATATATATTGGGGGGAGTGTCCCAAACAACCCTGCTCGGCTCTCAGATGGCCCAGACCGAAACCTACCGGCGAGTCTGGCGGGGAGATGGGCCTCCTCATAGGACCCAGAACGGGGATCTGGGGATGTGCAGCTCACTTAGAGATGTGGGAACCTTGGATCTAGCAATACTGCTCCAGGGACCCATCCCAACGACAGACCAGCAAAAATACCAAAGGACGTTGACACAAGGCTGTTTGATGCAACAAAAAAGTCTCGAAGGAACCCGAGTGTCTGTGCCTGGCTCCTCTGCAGCTATCCAAAATAAAGGAAGAGGGCCCCTGGGGGGCTCAGCGGTTGAGCGTCTCCCTTTGGCTCAGGGCATGATCCCGGGGTCCCGGGATCGAGTCTCGCATTGGGCTCCTCTCTGCAGGGAGCCTGCTTCTCCCCCTGCCTGTGTCTCTGCCTCTTTGTGTCTCTTGTGAATAAATAAAATCTAAAAA